ACATAATGGAGGGTCCCAAAGTTTAGACAGGTTAAATTATTTTATCAAAACAAATAAAAACGGTAAGTATATAATATTATTATAGTATTTAAATTTTACTTTTAAGAGAAATATTTTATTTTATAGAGCAATATTCGTTTTCTCTCTCAAACCCTCGCGCAACATAGATAAAACGCTTTCGACTAAATTCGTTTTTTTTTATGRCTTGTATCTATGTATGTAATATAAAGAGTGAAATCACCTATTACTAAAATCATAGAGGGCAATATTTTTTAGGTTTAACTTGCCGGTTATATATTTTATCATTATTTCACTAAGAATTCGGTTTCAAAATAAAAAAATTTAGAAATTTAAATGATGTTTAAATTGTTTTGAGAAATATTTTGACATACCTATACCCTCAAAAATATTATTCTCTATAATTTTTGAAATGGGTTATTACTTAATACTTATTTTACTCTAATATTACAAAACCATAAAAAAAAATGATTCTGCGTAAATGCATTTTGTCTATATTGCTCGTGAGTCAGAGWGAGAAAACAAAGAATGCCCTGACATCTTAAGTGCTGACAAAATAATAGTCATACTATAAAATACTATAGTCAAATACTTTAATTATTAGTGTTTTATTCTAAATGCCAATGGTACTGACATTATCTTTTAAAATATTTTTATGATGCTGACAATATTTATCTGTATCAATGTATCATCATGAACAAATATATATATATATATTTTTATACATATATATACACATATAATATTAATTTAGATGTTGCTGATATTGTGGTTATGGAAACTGAACCTTCTACAGACAATGAAACACACAGTCCAGGTTGTATTAAAATAACTATTAGATGAATATCTAAATTAATTTGTTACCTATATATTTGATTGAGAATATTTTATTTTTAGAAAACCAGTATGGTGAGTGTACAAATTATCATGAATTAATTTCTAAATCGACTAAATCCACCAACATAGAAAAAGAAGCACCAATAGAGACATGCAGTAACTCAATTGGAAATGAATGTATGTACCTATTTTAAATAAGTTTATAAATAAATTAAATTTAAATTCAATAGTTTTATAAATGTCAATAAGTTAATTGTATGAATTATCATTAGGGTTGTAAATTAAAAGTACTGTATGTCTTTTTAGCTTATTTCTAGCATATACCTASGAGTTTAGGTACTTATACAGCATTTTGAAGAATATATAATTGTTTCTAATAACTWGACTTGCTATATGGAGATATTTTTATATTTTAATATCTACAAACAATATTTTAAACTTCCATATAATAATTACAATAACAAATATAACATAACAATATATACATATTTGTTATATGTTTACATAGGTAGTATAAATTTAGTTGCTGCTGATGTTGTGGTTATGGAAACTGAACCTTCTACAGAGTTTATAGATAATCAATATGATGAATTAATAGCTATATCTACCAACAAAGACCTAAAATCACAAATAGAGACGTATAAGAACACTTTTGGAAATGAATGTATGTRTAATGAATAAGTTCTTTAAATTATTTTTTTATTAATTGCTATATATAAAACATTATCAACTTCTCTATTTCTATACTTCAGACTTCTATAGGTACCAATAATGTTCAAATTACTAATAAAGTAATAAACAATAATAAATGATTATGAAATAAAAGTGTAATAGATACTCATCGATTTAACAAATATATAAAAANTATATAGATATATATCTGTGGTGCGAAACGTTACGAAACTAGCAGCTGTTATGATTTTCGGCCACGAATAATATTATACTTCATATTTTGTTCTATAAATATACCATGGTTAATTAGATTATTAGTTATCGGCATTAATTGGCATAGAACATAATAGACATATTAATATTATAGACATATTATTCTCTATAATGTTAGGTTAGGTTATAATGTAATCGGTGTTCATTTTGTCAATTTGTCATTGCGTATTTGGCATTTGCGTATTCGCATTTCGCAAATCTGTGCCCGTTTGTGCGACCGAGACTGTTTTCCSCGACATTTTAAATTGAATATGCATAGATCTATCCGCTGCCGTGTTGTTTTTTTCTGTGCTTCTTTTAGGTATGTTATTATATTACTAATAAGTAATAACTAATATTGAAGACATATTACAGCAGTCGTGTCACTCGTGTACACGCTAATCGTTATTGTGTATTGTTATAAATCGTTCAGAATAAAGTAGTGTAGGTAACTTAAAATACGCATTAATATTGATCTATCATAAGAACTAATAACTGCACACAACGATATTTAAGGTAAGTTATAACTTGTTTATTTTATTAGATAGGTATTAACGTGGACTTCTGTGTGACCGCCGGTGGTCTTCTGTATAATTCTCAACTTGTATACTTGTGTGATTTGCACCGGTGCCCATGCGACTGTAAATTAATAGTTTTAAATTATTAAATTTACTATTMAAATTTTTTGAATATCATATAAAATATATTATTATTATTATTGTACAAATTAGTAATAACATGCAAAAATATTGTCGATGAAGTATTTTGTGTAACCACCTTACTTTTAAAACTAAACAACCATTCACACACAATTCATATATTATACTATTACCATCACTTTAACCTATATTATRTTGATCCAAAAATATACAATGTATTAACAAAAGACATTGAACATAATAATATTACCTATAATTCTTTAAATATTGTTCTAAAATAAATTACACTGATGGCTAATAGGTACAAGATAAAATAATATACATATGATATACAGTGAGTGTAAAAGTAAAAAGTATTCGTACACTCCGTGTTTTTGAATAAATATACACTTTTCTTTAAAATATTTTATTTTTATCAATAAACCAACATTCACATAGTA